CAAAAACGGGAAACTCAGTGAGGCGCTCAAAGTGAATACAGGAGTAAAACAGGGTTGTCTATTATCACCCATGATATTCTTAATTGTGGTGGACTGGCCTATGCGTCAAACTGTGCATTGGGAGCGAGGAGACAGAAATACGCTAGACCAGCGATAATAAGACTCTAGAAAATGTGGATTTCGTGTGCGGATAATTTACATCTAATGTCACATAACCTTTAAGACTTGCAGGCGACAATCAACAAACTCGTTGAGGAAGCAGCAAAGACAGGATTGCAGGTGAACATAGAGAAGACGGAGGTGATGAAGAGACAACAAACATTACCAATCATCACCAATGGGGGAGATTTGGCAGAGGTTGCTTCTTTCACTTATCTAGGTGTGAAGCATCGTTTCAACTACAGGAGGAACGGGTGAAGATGTCAAAGCTAGTCAAAATCGGAAGGGCAAGATAGCCTTCATTAACCTGAAATCAGTCTGGAAATCTTTTGCGCTCAGCCAGCACAGAGGACAAGATTCGGATTTTCAACACATATGAAGTCAGTCAGTCCTTCTATATGGGTCAGAAACTTGGCCAGCGTATCACAGAAAGCATTTCTAACAAGTTACAGGCTTTTATCAACTGCTGCCTTTTCCGGCTCCATACTGAAGATCAAATGGCCAGCCAGAGTCAATTAGCAACAAGAGTCTATGGGAGGCAACACACCAACCAAGAGCTGATAGCTCAACAAATATGTGAGAGGAAATGGAGATGGATCGGGCATACATTGAGGAAGCCATCGAATGACATCGAGCGCCAAACCATCGCTTAAGTGGAATCTCAATGGGAAGAGACAAATGGGTCGTCAGTGAGACGGTGACATTGAGGAGATCGTGCGAGGAGATGAGAGGTTGTGATCAACCGTGGACCCAGCTGAAGACGACGGCAGAGAATAGAACAAAGTGGAGATGTATAGTTGAAGCCATATTTTCCACTCGGAACCCAAGGGGATAATAATAATAATAATAAAAACTTGGAAGGGGTGTGAAATTACAGGATTACTAGGCAAATAGAATAAAAACAAAAACGTTGCGTAACATTGTGTGAAATTCGATAACATAGAATAAAAATAAAATAATAAAATAAAATTGATGTAGAATAACAAGTAGTGGGACGAGTGGAATAATCCTGGGGGCAATTCAAAGTGAGAATAGTAAGAGTTACGACTGACGTAATAGAGAAACAGTATACGAACTGAATAAACAAAACGAAGATTAAGTAGATCGGAAATATGATTAGGGTTTATCATACTTTAACACAGAGGGATTAAGACCATGAAAGTTTGAGGGGTTGAACGGACTTTTTCTGTATACAGAAATATGACTTCTCTATTTCGATGGACAAAGCTTCAGCAATAAAGATAAGCCGGATGCACGGTGACTTAGGCGAATTACTTTCCGCCTTACAGATGACTTCAAAGACGGAGTTTGTAGAGATAGGGCGATCATTATCGACCAGATGTTCAATGATTGTGCTTCTTATAGCTCCACTTCTACCTCTTCGTAACCATCCAGGATAGTGTTCTTGTATGCTCTTGGACAAAACCCGAGTCGAACGACCAATACACCTAAATCCACACGAGCAGATGAATTGATAGGCGCACATAAAGTCGGTCAACTGCAGGATATTATTCTTCAGGTTATTGAATAGTAATGGTCAACTAGAAAACGTTATACTCAACGATGCCGAAGCGACTGTGAGATCCTGCTTTCAATGATATCGGAAGCCAAATCACCTTTGAATCCCAAGATCATGTACAGTATTTTCTTGGCTACGGATCTTCCTTTATAACGTCAGTTGTTAATATTACTATTCTCACTTTGAATTGTCCCCAGGATCATTTCACTCGTCCCACTTCTTATCATTCTACATCAGTTTTGTTTTTCAATGTTAAATTCTATGTTATCGAATTGCACACAATATTAAGCAGCGTTTTATTTTTATTCGATTTGCCTAGTAATCCTATAATTCCACACCCCTTCCAAGTTCTATACATCCTATGAACTGTTCGACAGATGACATTAATTGTTTTGCCACTTGACATTTAACATTTTAATTATAATTGCATGTCATACTGTAACAACAGAAGACAAGGGCCGGCAACAGATTTTTTTATTACGGAAATCAGCACGTATTTATATATATTTCATGTACATTATTATAGCTTATTCAAGCAGACAAACAGTCATCTGATTGGTTGTTTCTTGCTCAGGGTGACTGGTTTTTCGGAAAGTTAAGCAATATATCTGCGAATCTTATTTGCTCGCGTTAAGTCTGCTGTGACTGGTTGTTGAATCAGACTTGTTCATATTTTCTCACAGCCAATATTAGCGACATAGACATTGACGTATATTAATGTCTACCAATTGGCTAGCAGCCTGCTCTCACCACAATACTACTATTATTATTTTATGTATTCACACACCTATTATGCAATTCCCTCACTGAATATAATATAACTAATAAATTTAACACATCTTTCCTAACCTATTAGAATAAAGATAGAAACCAGGTTTGGCATACAAATCACCGTTTACTATTCAAACTACAATTTTTTAATGAACGGTGAGCTTTAAATGCACTTCTTACTCTAAATAAACCTTATAGCAAAGCTTTTTGTTTGAATAAATTGGTAGTTACACAGATTTTTTTTAAATAACAAATGATACAAAAACAAACGGTGCCAGTTACCTACCTACCTACATGATTTTACTTATGCAAATGAATTCGAACATCACTTTTAAGTGACAAAATATATACATAATCAATTTACAAAATTCATAGAAAGAAAATAAAGAAAGAATTTAAAAATGTTACTGTGAAAAAGAATGTATACACACTGAAACTCACTATCAATGCCAGTCATGTGACTGGAGCAGTTCACACAAATGCAAAGCCACAAGTTCATAGATGAATAAAAAAGAAACTCGTATATGCAGACTACAGACATTACTACAGTTAAGTCCAGTGTGATATTGGTTTTACCAATGTAATACGCAACTGCTTAATGAATCCTTAATATATGAAGGCTTCCTAAAAACGAAGTCTTTTGGTGAATAACTACAATATAATTATTCAGTGTTACCCTAATCAATCAATCAGAACCAACACTAAGGTCTAGACACGACACTGGTTACTTCCTGATGAACAATGAATACACTCCTCCAGTAGTGTAAGCTTCAAAGTATTACCAACTGGGTATGCTTATTACTTTTAATTCTATATAATGTAAATTGGCAGAAGCTGATAGAGCTTTTCATAGTCCTGCCGATGTTCGCTTCGACAAAAGCACACCCCACAGGTGATATGAGCTACCATGTAATGCAAGGATTCAGTGAGCAAAAGATGTCCCCCCCCCCGGCTATTGATAGATGTAATATCTACACAGGGTCAGAATTGAAACAACAAGTGACACCTTGGATGTTACAAGGTGATCCAAAACATCTCCATATAATTTGTACACTTAGTAACAAGATTATATTATACATACATTCTAAGCTGAGTAAGAAACTTACGGAGGGGAAGACCACTTTACAAAGTCATATAAAAGCATGACTTTATGCTTACAATACAATAGAAAACACAATTAGAATCTCCAACAGTTGGGAGGGGTGGGGGAATGAAAAACTTATAAGATAATTTAATGCACGTTTTTAAAATCAGAGCAAGGTTCTGATAGGGTAATGTCAAATAACAATCTACTTGTCAAAAATTCTTCCCTGTCACTGCGACATGGTGTCAACAAGTCAAGAGATATGCTTAGTACACTAATGAGCATATTTCTAGTCCGCTCAGTCCTCCTTTATGGTTGTGAGACCTGGCCACTCAGAGTAGAAGACATGAAAAGACTAGCTGTCTTTGATCATAGGTGCCTGCGCTCTATTTCCCGTGTAAAGTGGCATAATAAGGTGAGCAACATTGAGGTTAGGCGTAGAGTTCTAGGTAAACAGGGGAAATCAATCGACGAGGCGGTTGTGAAGTTACAAAGACTGAGATGGTTAGGACATGTGTTACGTATGCATGCCTAGTCATCACCTTCCTCGACGAGCATTGTTAGCGGATATAGGGTCAGACTGGAAAAAAGCTAGTGGAGGTCAAACAAAAACTTGGCACCAGTCAATGAAATCTACAACAGTTAGTCTAAACCTCGTAGGAAGGTGTAGACTTCCTGGTTGGGGTCCTCGGGACGGTAAAAACAAATGATCGGAAACAATTGGGGACATGGCTCAAAATCGTTCTCAGTGGCTGGTGCGGATGCATCCACTCCTTGTGACTTATGATCTCCAATGAAACTGTTTTGTTTTTCTTTATTACTCCTTTGTCTCACCCCTCTGCTCACAGTTTCTATTATGCTTTTCTTATACTTTCTTCTCTTGTTTCGCCTGCTACACGGAGTGTGGCGACTTGAACTTCCGCACATTTGTGCAAAGTTCTATGTCGAAAACAGACAGACAGACAGACCGTTTTCCATCACATGATTTAAAGTTAATATCAAGGAGATGCGCCCAAGCCTAGACTAGAAAGAAGCCTATTTTTGTTGAATTTGCCACTCCTGGACACTGTGATTATCACATAACACAGTATTTTAGAAAATATATTGGTCAAACATCTTTCATATAAAAACAAAACGATATTTTGTTGACTGGGACGATCATAGATGCAAACCAAGTCTGACTCACTCCTTGACTAGGAATTTATGTACGCATAGTAATATATCAGCTACTTGTGTTCGTTTCAAAATGAAAAATAGCATGAAACAACGGGAGAGAATCACAACAGTTGAGACAGAATTAATAATGAAACAGTCAACAGTAAGAAATTAGAAACGGAATGAGTAGATGCAAAGGTATAATCAAACCTGACTTCGAATTATATCAGTCAAGATACACAGTAAAAACAATAACTTGATGACATAAATAATACAGTGAAAATACGTTAGTAAATAAGGGACATAACTTACCCATGACCATAGGGTGAGATGAAATAAAGACAACAGTGAACACGATGATCGTGAATATTTTTACGATTTAAGCCACATTCATCCTTGAAATATTGTTCAAAAGTGCTATCTATGTAATCCTCTATTGGTTTCCAACTGTGAAAATATAAAAATTCGAAAGTGAAGAACAATTAAATTGAAACAGTAGTCCTTACAAATTAGTAGCATCCCAAATAAAAATTAGACTAATCAATAAAAAAGCAGTACGACCTAATTCGGAGAACCCTTATGCTTTTGTATCTCACCAAGAGAGATATTACTAGGTAAAAGCTAGATACACAGCCCAGTAGTACAGAGAATTTCACATCGCAAAATTTGGACAAACGAACCAAAAGGTTTAATTATTAAGGATTTATACCAATAGACTATATCTTCAAAAAGATAATTTGTTCTTACAATCTGTTAGAGATCAAAACTGCAACACTAACTGATATCAGCCGGGAAACTAATGAGACCGAAAGGAGATAGCAGAGCCGTTTGATTCCACGATGGGACCCCTCACTAGTGTGTGTCAATAATCTCGTACGAGACCAGGTCCAGGACTTTTAAGTCTTACAGCCACTGCAATACTCAAGTGTTGGTTTGCAGGGGTTAAATTGATCTCAGGATTTAGTCATGAAATGACATCGGTTAGAGGATCATTGGAAATTGTGACCAGTGGAATACAGCAGTACAGCACAGGACAAATACTCGACGATGACATTGGTTAATGGTACAGTCATATCATGAATTGACAGATATTGAGAATGACGGACCATTGGATCAGGTTCTAGTGGCTTGATGGTCTGCGAGCTCACCTTGTAACCAGAAGGTCCTGGGTTAGAACCTCAGTGTATGCGTACCACTGAAGAGTCCTAAACTAAGACGAAACAGTTGTTTAGTACTCCCAGGTTTTCTAACGATCCTCTAACCGATGTCAGTTCACGATGAAATCATTGCAATACTCTCCAGAAATTAAAAGTCTTTCCAAGTAAGACCAAACTATGAAGATAAAAAGAATTGTTGTTTTTCAACAGTGTGAGGGCTGATGATACTATCTAGTTGACCAGGCTGAAGTAGATGGAACAGGACGCTGACTTGGAACCTAATGGCTGAGAGTTGAGCTCCTAAGCCAGTCGGCCACATCTCTTTGGATATAATGTCAAGTGGTGTCTACAAACTAGAGCTGTATGATTAAAGCATAAATTGCTAAATGCTGTCCTTAAAAAAAGACTGAATTTCATTCCGTAACAATTTTAAATAAATCAACATCAGAAGGAAGCTATATTCAGAATGTAATTCTTTTTTTAATGTTGCCGAGGATAAGTTAATAAAAGGGATAGTAAATCTTCCTGTGATAGGCAGCTTGGTTAATAAAGTAACTGAAATTCTAAATTTAGTAATCCCGTGTAAACTTCGAGGTGTTCAGGAGGAACGAACCTATGGAAACCAAGTAGCCATTATGCTCGAAAACGGGTGTATTAATATATATATATATATGTATATATATATATATATGTATATATATATATATATATATATATATATATATGTATATGTATATATACCCTTCAACATATCCTGTAACGTAGGTATATTTACCGGCGTCCAACATGCCATATTTCTTGACGTGATAGCGGCACTAAACTTTGTCAACAGAGAAGTACTGTGACAATATCTGACACTGACAAAATGCAGTCTTCTGAACACCTTGATTAGAAACCTAAGTATATGTAGCATGTGATCCCTTCCCGCGCGTGTGTCAAACGCAAGATGATATTGCAGTACTAATTTGAACAGAGTACTATTTTAAGGATAAGGAGTTAAGTGGTTAAAAGCAATGATCACTTCACTTATCGGGGAAGTTGCATAAGCCCTAATGGAATGAGCGCATATAAAATCCCAGCACAGCTGCGAAAGGCTCGGTTGGCATTTTTCAACTGGCATCATCCTTAGCGTGAACGTGATATTCAGTTAGCTACTAAAAAACGTGTGTACTGAACTGCAGTTTGTTCTGCTCCTCTTTACAGGTAACAGAGGGCCATTGAAAATGAATAAATTAGCCGCCTTTGACTACATATGTGTCCACCTCCCACCCCTTATCACAGACGATACAATATATTCAGTAATAATGGGGTTAGGAATAGTGTTAGATAGAGTAGAAAAGGCAATTGGTAAGGTTGTGAAGCTGCATTGATTGAAATGATTAAGACACGTGTTATGAATTGCCTCCCTCGTCGGATAATGTTAGCTCACATAGGATTAGGCTGGAAAACAGTTAGGAGTGGTAAAACCAAAATCTGGCACCAATTTATAAAGTTTGATTTGAACCATGTTGGGGGATGCAGATTGTCCGACTGGTGTCTCTGAGATGGTAAGAACAAATACTTTGAGAGTGTTGCTAACATTGGTGAAAACTGTTCTCCGTGGTGCAGATGAATTCACTCTTTGTGATTTCCTAAATTCATCAAAACCTCATTGTCCTACCAGTAATTATCTATTCTAACGCAAATTTACGTTTATTATCATTTACTGTTTTCCCTCAACTTTTGTGCGATTACTTGGATGAAGGGACACATGTAAACGATTTACACAGCTATAATAAAATTTTCACGACAAAGAAAATTCAATCAAAAATCAACATTATATTACAGTCTGATATTGAAATTTTAAGTACAAAAATGATAAACTAACCAATCAGTTCGATTTACAGCATCTCCAAAACCAGGAGTATCCACAACTGTTAGACGTAATTTGACACCGCGTTCATCTAATTCGATCTGACGCTTTTCAATCTGAGTTGTTCTTTGAATACGACTATTCGCTTCAATGATCTCTCTATCTTTGTATAGATCTTGAACAAATAAGCTATTAATAAGCGTTGATTTGCCAAGACCACTTTCACCTGAAAATTGCATAACATTTACAAAGTAACTACATGACCATATAGATGGCAATTAGCTGTCATAATATATTACGTCACCTCAAACACAAGTAGTGGGTAAAATTATTTTTAAGCAAAACCAATCAGTTCAAGTTGTCCCAACTAAGCAAAAGTAAGTATACAATCAGAGAAAAGAAACAACGAAACCACGAGAAGACTGCCACAATGATGGACGCCATCTTGACGTCATCAGTCTTGTGTACTTAATGTTCCAACAGGCTATATTGACTGGAACAAATGTAGGTGCTACTATTTTAGGAAGATCAAGATATAACTTTAAAAACCAAATGCATCTTCATGTGCTTTAACTCACATTACTGCACTAAAGCGTTTGATTCTGTGCCAATCAGTTAGCCAAGTGTTACACACTAAGACTTACGTAATTCGCATCAGATATATAGTGTAATCATGTGCAGTGAAAGTGTTTCTTGCAGTGTTATTTTGTTTCATATTTTTGAATTGTCAGATGCAAATAACCAAAATCAATAGGATGGCATTATCTGATTGTTTACAGATTCAGAACATTCCCTTGCAATACCTAAACAACAAGGTCATTTCTTGAGATGATTGCAGTGAATTCTAGCACTGAGTTATGCGTTTGAATTAGTTTTCAAATTGACGACTATTTCACTGTGCCCCAAAAGTTACAGTGTCATATTAGTATACAAGGACTTGAGAAATTTTTAGAGTAAGGTGTGATTTCTCACGCTATTCCATCCTATAAATTATATGATGAAAATCACAGCTCGTATACATGAAAAAACTATGTTAAGTTCTACTATTTTTATACAATGGATCAGTTATCTAAGTAACCAGGTGTATACTGAAGCAATCACTACACAAACGACTTTCAAAACTTAAAACCGCTTGAAAATAAATCAGAATTACAATAGTTCCCAGTGCAAACAAATTTTTGTACAAAATACAAAGAATAAACATCTTAAATTAACATGAGCAAACCTTACTATACACGTGTAAACTTTGTAAGAACTACTTATAACATAACATAAATTAGAGATATACTGGACGAACTTACCAACAACCATTAGCGTAAAATTAAAACCCTTTTTAACAGCTTTTCTATGCATTTGTTCAGGTAAATTGGCAAATCCAAGCCTTGCATCTTCTTCAATATTCTGCTAAAAAAAAGAGAAGAACTTCAGTCGTCATTAAAATAGTTATACTGCATTAAAAGTTTACAGAAGTAATTAGAAAAATCTTACCGAATTCAACATATTTTTATTGGTCATCAAAACACAGGGTACATTGTTCAGTAATCGCATTCTCCTATATGGATTACGAACACTAAGTATACGACTTAAACTGTTTCTCGAATGATTAACCTGTCCCATTTGTGATTTTGAACTAGGATCTACAGGGGCATGACTACGCATTTCCAACTCAGCCATTTCTAAAGCGGATATATAACAATGAACAACACCTGAGTGTAATGCATAAGTACAATAATATACCTGCATCTAGAGATGCTTCTTCCTGACTGCGCATATCAGAATGGGTACAAACCAACGATTCCAGTTCTTTTCTGTTACGAATGACTTCAGATACAATGCTTTCCCCGCGCTCAGATATAGTGAAAGATGCTAAATCACATGTCTGATTCAAGTCGTCATCATTTAATAATCGAGATGAATTTAGTGAAGAAATACTTGATATATGAGACGTTTTTTGACTGGAAGATTTAAAAGCCCATTTTTGAACACTACCGAAAATACGATAAGGTAATTTGTTTTTCTTATTTGATTGACTAGTTAGTGTGGATGTTCTCGATTGAACACTTGACAGAGAAACACCTGAACTGTTATCTGTTGATTGCCGAAACATGAGAAAAGTAGTGAAAACAAATCTGAATACTTAGTATGCAACAAGGTGAATAATTTAACCTCATTAATATTCACAAGTCTACAACTACAAACCGATTGGTTACAACTGGAAGAGTTTTGTGACACATCAATGTGTTAAACACGCAAGCAAGATAGAGATTGGTGACGTAAGGTGTGCAAATGCAGTAAGTCAATCGTAACATACACCATATTGTCTACAATTAGACACATCTCACGCGCTGAATTGTAATTTATTAATTTATTTATTAATTTGATTTCCGCATTTAGTAGATGATGCTCATTGGCTATAGTACCACATTCAGTCAGTGAGCCCACAGTTTGAATCCCGCTCCTACTGCTTCAGAATGAACGACTGGGTAGTATCATCAACTCCTATTCATGTGTTTTGCATGATCTAGTACATGTAAACTGACCAAACTAACATATTCAGTAGGGTTATAAACAGAGTTACTGACATTGAAATTTTAAAAACTGATGTCAAGTGACCTTCTCGTAAGGGATTTATTGTCACTCAATTCATAAATTGTAAACAGCATACGACACATATGTTTATCTGCTTCAGGTTACTACTAATCACCCTACACAGAAAATATACCACAGAGATGCTTAGCTTCGCAACAAGTGATGAGACATATATTCTCTTAAAGATACCCAGACAAATGAGTCACTATACTATAATTTAGTTGGTAAAAAATTAAATAAAAATACTTGTTGTTCTGTTGGTATACGATAACCTCCGAAATTCAAAAACAACACTATATATTCAGACTGCTTTAGTTTAAAAGTTAAGTGACACTGTATAAAACCTATGATTATACTTGACGAATCTTTATGTTTTTATACATCGAATACTGTCTAAAATTTGTCAATTATCTAACGATGAAGTCTACATACACAAAAAGTAGGTGGCATTTTACTCCGATTAAAAATGTTACACATAAAAGTTATGCCGATCAATTAAAATAATAACTTTTGAGGTTCAGGAAAGGTAAAAATAATTAGAGAATTCAAAACCACTTCCACAATTATTACACAATTGATGTAATAATTTTAATGTATAGCTATATATTGGCGTACAGTCGTTGATTAGAAACCAACTGAGAAGTAATATACTTCACTCAATATGCTGTTCTTATTCAATATGTAGATGGGAATTTTTAAATTATTAGAAAAATGTTACCCAACACAACTTACTTAAGTACATGCCTTAAAACCACAAGAAAAACAAAATACAAGAATGATGTACTAAAATTTCAGAAGTATTCACACTTTGGAAAATATAAAGTCACCAGAAGGTAAGGATATTTTCGTTGTTGTGTTTGAAAGTTAACTCGGAAAAGTATTAACACTTATTTAAACATACACCTTGTACATCATCATAAATGGACAACACAAAAGTAGAAATACAGGATAAACAAATAAAAATCTACAAAAAACAAACAGAAACGACCAACCATTCCAGGAAACATTTAAAGGAATGTCCATCGCTTCGTACTACTTCCGATGATAAAAATAAAAAGGAGTACAACACGATAGTCACTGGTCTCAAATTCGATCTACATCTGATGTCTCTTTCAAGGAAAAGTACTATATTTTTACAGTACGCACATGATTCAGTCCTTCCACGTGTAGACGCTAGCGAAATGAAATCTTTTCAAAACACAGAAAAAATTTGAATATGAATTAAGTGTCAATATCAAGTGTAAAATCGTGGTACTAGATTGGTCTAAACCAACTCATCTAAGACTAGACAATAAAATGGTAAAATATGCTGACTACTTCGACTCCACATATTTTGTCGGCCCACTTGGACAGGATAATCACGAAGGTTTGTTTAGTATTTGCCAACCTGTCACCTTTGGTAGATGCGTGATTTCCAGTTACCCAGTAAAGCACGAGTCCACTACGTGGCCGTTCGGAATGCCCTTACCTTCAGATGGAGACTATGGCTATCGAAACGGAAGACATGGAAATATCATGTTATGTACCTTAGGTGGTTACCTTCATTTCTTCACCTTAGGTGAGGCGGTATGGCTAGTAACAATCAAGTCAGACATAAACCCGGAAGATAAGTAGGAAAATACGATCAGTCAGTTTTTGCAGCTACACCGATCAATATGGCTAGGACACGTACCACGCATGTTAAACCACCACCGTCCTCAATATAGTGTTAGCTGAAATGGGATTAGCCCATAGATTTAGGAGTAGTCACAACAAAACACAACAACAATCCACGGAAACTGTCCAGTTCAGCCATGTACAGAGGAATCGCCCAACTCGATGGGACTATCAGGATTACAACAGTCAATTCTCAGAATCACCCACTCAGTAACTCAGGTACAATCAATTAACAAAACTACATGCAGCACAATTATCCCACCTCGTATAGTCTTACATCACACATACAAGATCAGTTGTCTTCCAACTCCCACCCCAACCAGTACCACGACTACCATAAAACAGTACACATCTTACGGACTTTGTCAAGACAATGTCAAGAATATAATCACAAGCAACCAAAACTCATGTAACAATGGGAAGTCAATTACTGACAGGTGGTGACCTCTTCTAAACAAGAGATCTCCTAATTCAACGCATCTCACCTGCACACTACTCAAAATTGAATGATATAGAAGATAATTAGACTCCTTCAAACAACCTAAACACCTTCCCCACCAGAGTCCCACCACCCGTAGGTTGTTTAGGCTCATTAATACACAGTAATATACCTCTTTGTCTTCGAAATAATACAGATCCCTAGCGTAGCATCGGGAGGCAGTGAAATGTCAGTAGAAATAATCCAGTTTTATTCTTCGTTCATTCGGACACAAATTTCCACCAACAAACAAATGTCTATTCACTTCCAACCCAAACAACCGACAATAAATTCCCCACTTTGATTGTTATAACTAGCAACCAGAAACTGTTTACTAATAGGAGGTCAGCTTTCAAAACAATTACAACTATCCATTGCAAAAACGTGTAGCGATACAATGTTCGGCAAAACGTTCATCGACTCTTTATCGACCTTTGTGTCATTCCCCATTTATGTATCAGAAGAAGTTTACCAACAAACCAAACATTGAGATCCTACAACGAACTTATCCTACTTGTTGTAATAGGGTGTAACAGAATTAAGATATCCGTAAAGAATAATTCCATCTATAGTGATTCTGCATTCCCTTTTTCAGCGAAGGCTTAGAAAATGTCAGTTGTGCCAACTGGTTCAACGATTCGAATCCACAGAGTAGCACACTGTACTTATGAGAATGTGTCCCAAACTATACTATACTATTTTTAATATCCACAGTTTATTAACAGTCGTATTTCTGACACCTTTACAGTTGTAACCACATAAAATCTTGTCTCATGAATATATTTGTTGAACACACAACTTGTAATTTCTGAATGGGGCAGAGTTTGTAAGAATTCGATAACCAATTGTCAGTTTTATATCAGTGCATTAGTTGATTGAATACCGACAAACAGTTGCATGTGAGGTATTTGGATAAATATTACCGTAAGAACTAAGAATAACTGATAATCAGCTGACCACAGACTGAGCAGTAGGAAGCATGAGCTCAAGTTATAAATATTTTTTTCAATGGTTGGTTTGTAAGGATTAGTTTTGCTTTTATACGAGTTGATCACGGACTGATATCAGTTAGAGAACCATTGAAAACCAGGAAGTGCTGGACAGCTGTTTCGTCCTAGTTTGGGAATCATCAACAGTACGCACCCACTGGGGGTCGAACCCAGGGCCGCCCGGTTACAAGGCAAGCTCGTATACTATTCAGCCACTGGGACCCGATTCAATGGCTCATGAATTCTAACTTCTACCAATCCTTGACTTAGCGCGGCCCCAACCAATGTCGTCGGTGGGACATCCATCCTCACACGTGACTGGATGGACCTCACTGGTCACGACTTCTCACTAGAACTCCAGGAAATTCCATCCTGTAGCAAGTCACTAGCGAGCATCAGATTAATTTTCTGTGGTTGGTTTTTAAGGATTAGTTTTCTTTGTTTGTTTTTACATCAGACAACATTAACGAACGAGTAGAGAGAGGTTTGCATCTTACAAATTCACGTTCAATACACTCATAATTGTGATCTCTTGCTACAAGTGCACTTATAACTGCGTATTCTTAACTAGCATAGATTTATAACAGAGGAATACATCATTAGCTGAGGCTGCTATCGAATTCAACTAACCGAGCGATATACCATGTAAACAATATTTATGATGAGTCTGCCGTCCGTTAATTCGTATGAAACACGTGCTTAAATTGTCACCACAAATCGGACGGGATATGACTGTGTCAGCAATTGTAAAACAAAGTTATGTGGATGATCGTGACATAGGGGAGGTATTTAGAAGGAAACTACGAGGACAACCATCGACTATCCTTGTCTGAAATAGTTGGTGTCAACTGAATAACGAAAATATTAGTTTACGTATCACGGTAGCTCCTACAAGCATAAGAAGGGATGAGACAGCTTAGATGTTCACTGAATTAGAGTATGAGGCAATCTTAATTAATGGAGAGCACGAAAGCCTGAGACAAAACTGGTAACTGTGAAATATTGTAAGTCTTTCGGACGTACATTGAAAACCAAGGTTATGAGACACTATCTAGGTAACCTTCGCTCGACTTTCGTATAGATGCAGCCTTAAGGCAACATCTAAATCAAGCATTAAGCACCTGCAAAGAATTTCAAACGGCCTTGTAGAGGAAGAATACTTATCGGAATGAGTAAGTGTGAACATAGAACTTTCCAAAGAAATACAGTTAATGTTGCCAAACATAGCACACAAAAGAGAAAAAAAGTTTAAAAGGACTATAATAAGCAGAAAGGTATAGGAGAGAGAATAGTAACATGGAGAAGCATCAGGATCCGATGGACCATGCAAATTACAAAGAGAGTATCTGAGCTACTGAGCCATATCGCCAGTAGCTTCCAGTCATCTATTCTCAGCGTCTCGAGGACTAAGCAAGCGATCTACATTTCCCCGTGTTGCTCAAACCAACTGTTAGAATCTTCATGATTTAATGTTAGACTTCGGTTTGATCACCCATAACATTTCTTAATTAATCCTTTGTCGGCTAGCATTGCTGATCTCAATAGATTCATCACAACCTCCTCGACTGACTTTCCTTCCTTACCTGACCTAAATATTGCTCACCACACTGTGCCCCTCAACACAGGCGAATGCAAACATCTGTGGTCAGAGACAACTACGCTTTCCAAATATCCCACCTTCAATGGCCAAGTATTACAGTCATTAAGAAGGACAGAACGAACTGCTGCGCAGTACATGCTTCCTTTCGCCGACAGTCAGAGATGACGTAAGCTGACAAGCGCCAACCGAGTCTTTTGCATGCACGTTGAGATTTCGTCAGTAATCAGTGCTTTAGGGTTGGTACAACTTCCCAAATAAGTGAAGTACGCGATACGCCTAATCATTTCACTTCCTACCTTTGGAACGGGAGTGCATGCAGATCAGTCCTTCGGCATCACCACACATTCGACAGGAGGGCTGTACTAGGAGAAATAAAAGGGAGTATAGAAATCAACAGGTTGGAGCCAAATTACGTGTGCTGATACACGTTACAATTGCACTTTTTACTACCAAAAGGCCAATAGGAGTAATAACCATCTTGTAACTATGGAACTGTAAATTTAGTAACCTTCCAACTATCTGTAGCATCTTATTAAGAAAATTTAGTTTCTTAAAAAAATACGCTAGCACACCACGTTAAAAGCAGTTCTATGTGCGTCTCATTCCTTTATATTTTGTCTTGGGTGCACCTTGCACAATCGATATGAGCCACTTCCAAGTAGAACAAAAGTTATACTGCAGTACAGTAACAATCAAACATTCTGAATACTAGGGACTGATTCCTGATACAGAAAATTACTGGACATACTATGGGCGTGAAAAGCTAATGGTGATATACTTCGTTGCAGAATGCATCACTCACTATAGCTTATCAGATCCTACATATTGTGGGACTGGTTATCAAATCAATAGCTGCACATAAATTTCGTACACTGTTGTACATTAGTTGCTTCAGTTTTCTGTAGTCATAATACCGAGCCATAATTGATTTCGGGCCAACTGCCAAAACTCTGGGGAAGACTTCAGGCGCTCTGCAGATACTTTTTGAAGGAATACAGACAACTACCTCACTTTCTGGGATGCACCCGGAGAAAATGCTAGCTGAGATGTTATGGTCAATACAAAACGTAAGCATGAACATTTGGGATATTGATATGCAAAAGAAAAAAAGTAACGGAATGGTGGAGTGAACCATTAAATGGGCTGTATACTCTTTAAAACCTACTCACATCGTCAGACCTCGTAGTACTTGTTAAAGAATTTGTGGATGAACCAGAATAATATCGGGAAGCTCCTTTAGTTGCACTCAACTCATCCGTATCAACTTAAAAACAAAGCAATTTTAGAGACGAAAATCGACTACCTTTACTTCTGTACTTAGCTGAAACTCCAAAACGCGGAATATTAGCCATACAGCAGTAATTGTATTAAAGTAATTGTATTAAAAACCAAACAATCTTAGCTCGCTTTCGGCTTTACGACCTTGAGAAGGTAGCACAACAGCGGGGCAATGGATAAAGGCACACACGACCTAATGGAGAGGCTGAGCACTTCAAAGTCACATATGCATATTGTGATTGGTAGATTTTACTTTGCGTAAACGCTGAGGCTAATACGTAGCACACGTTACTGAGGCGGGCTTTAAAATGATAGTAATAAAAGTCGCATAAACATCACATTTTTCAGCTTAATGAGACAAGTTAACATATGTATAAATTTTACAGATGTGATATGCATGTGGACCCACTAACAAAAAGAATAATACTGGGTAACTCAATCAGAGAAGTATAAAGTTTGAAGATTTAGTCTTTTTCAGTTGATTGTAACGGACGGATAGGAGAGGCAGTTGTTTAATATTTGCGTTTTGCAGAAGACAAACTGTGGAAGATAAATCAGAAGTTCTATAATTCTTCAAATCTGTCGTGGAATATATGGACTAATCTTACCGATTCTACTATTGTTTCCTCCCTTGTTCATATATTCATTGTGGCTAAGATAAGGAATTGTTCACCTGAGGTAAGATCAACTCACCTGATATGTATACGCCCTTAGGTATTTTTCAGTGAGGCTGGAGGTGGTCGAAGGAATACAATCTTAATCTTTGCATGGAAAGATCATAACCAGTTTCTTCTGAAGGATCGGTTGATGCTGAAAGTTGTAAAGGCGGGTCCAGTGTCACAATCATCTGAGGGAAACTGATCCACATATTGTGGATAAAGCGATTAGTGGACATTAATTTGATTATGATATAGCAATAAAAAACTACAACTGTAGTTTTTTTCACTGAACTGTTATCAACCCTTTTTAATGTGAATATGTACTGTTTGACTGTTGTGTATTTTATAAATATATGCATTTATGTCGACTACCTGTATCTCTCTTAATTATCATTTCGAGGACATTGCAGAGTTAACGAAATTGATAGGCTACGTAGTAATATTTCCGTGAAATGCGTCATAATGGCAAACCGTTATTATTTCCTCAGTGCGTCATCAAGCCTCGCATGAAATATTTCAGTTACATTTAATCCGGTTGCGCATGGCATAAGTATGCATTAGCGTTAAGAAGAAAAGAGCGTCAAATATGTGTTTGTATTGTGATAACGAAATATAGTAGCCCTTTTGTAAAATACTGTCAAAGTCATAGACCGGTATAAGTCTTTATGTGCGTGCAACATCTCAGTTACATTCAGTCCGACTGCATAAAAGATTACCTCTCATTAAATCTAGCTAAAAAATTATACCTTTAGCTTATGTTTTTATACGATTACTACATATACATAACGTATTATAGGTATATCCTACTGAAGAAAATTATCCTAGTATTCGTATGCTACCGCTACTGCGCGAACTTTGAAAAGGGAGTTAATTTTCACGCTCTTGTTTATAATTGGATTTTGTTGTGTTATACGCTTCAAAAGTCCACAGATTTAACTTTAAATCAGTTTATTCTGGTCGAAGTTAGTTTACGTTTCAGATCTGAGTCTATTAATTATAGGAAGTTTTGTTCTTATAACATAATAGCTACATATATCTATCTTTGTGCACTCATTAGCTTTTATCACTGATTTACAAAGGTTATATATATATGAAGTTGTATTTAACTTTTCCTGGTTTGTTTTAAATAAAATGCCTATCAAAAGAAACCGCTGCGGAAGGGCTATGTGCCAGTTTCCAGTGGATGAGGGAATGCAGTGTGATAACTGCAAGAGATGGTTTCACAGTATGTGCACGAACCTTACTCCAGCAGCATACAAACGCTGCTGCAAACCTCTAGCGAACTGGTTGTGCAACGACTGCTGTAGTACAACTAAACTCCGTATTACAGAAGCCATAGCTACTCTTAGTGGGGCTTTAAAGCTCATGGACTGCAAGCGTCCTCCACCACAGAAGAATACCGACTATTGCTCAGATAGCGATGACGTGACTAGCGTCATTGACAAAACAGCACATGTCCCAGATGCGACCTTGCCAATAAGTGAGTGCTCTACAGCACAGAAGAACACCCACCACATTACAGACACCCAGGTCGCCCCCACGATACTGGATGAGCCCTCCAGTGACAGTAATGGAAAGACTGCCGTGAAGAAGAGGCGTACTAGGGGTCGAAAACCTGCAGCTCCAGTCGCCCAGGGACTGGCGGAACAAGCCTCATCCACACCGGTGAGCAGCAGACAGACGAACCCCATTAAGATTAGCGAGGAGGACGCCAATGAATGGCGCACCGTAGTCTCTCGCAAAAAGCGAGATAAGGATAACACTTCGGCCACACCGCCCAAGAAGGATAGAAACACACTTACGCCTCAGGGCAAGAAAGTCACGGAAAGCAAACCCGATCTCTCTGACAGGTCTCTCATTCTCCACAAAGTGGAGGAGTCACTGGCCCTCGACCCTAAGACCAGATTCGAGCATGACCTTAACTTGGTCAAGCCCCTTTTAGACAAGCTACTGCCACAAACAGTATCAGGCATTACTATACACAGCGTATACAGAATAGGTCAAAAGCCTGACCCTACAGTAAGTGAACCTGTACGTCTCCTCAAAGTCGTACTAAACTCTTAAGAAGAGAGGGACGCTATTCTAAGCAACTCTCATATTCTCAAAGGATCAGGGATATATGTCCGCGCTGACTTAAGCCTAGCAGACCGTGTCAAAAGACAGGCTGCGGCACTAGAATTAAGTGAGCGACGCCGGAACGGTGAGAAGAACCTTAAGATTAAGGGTTTTCGGGTTGTCCGAGTTCGCAGTTTAATGATCCCGAAACCTCTGTGGGTGGGCCGGGGAAGCACCAATCTGAATTAACAGTCTGCTACACAAACGCCCGCAGCCTGTTAAATAAAAGGACTGAGCTGGCAAACATGATAGAAACCGGAAACCCGGATGTAATTATTATCACAGAGACATGGCTCACACCCGATGTCACTGACAACGAAGTTAACCTGCCAAACTTCGAAGTGCACAGGGTAGACCGACTAAACCGCAAAGGAGGGGGCGTAGTCATCTACCTCAAGAAAGGCTTAACCGTGCGTAGTATCGAAGCACTCGCCCACGAAAGTGAGTCGTGCGAACTTCTACGCTGCAGACTTAAATGCATAGGCCAAGACATTGACCTCATTGCTGTGTACCGCAGTCCTGACTGCAGTGCAGACGACTTCCTAATAGAGAAGCTAGGCTCCTGGACTTCAAAATGTCGAAGTCTCGTAGTCGGTGACTTCAACGCCCCAACAGTTGACTGGTCGAGCCTAACAACTCCATCTTAGTCAACTCCTTTGACCATAAACTGCTAGAATCTAGTATATCGCTAGCCCTAGTCCAACATATCATTAAGCCCACGCGCTATGACTCACAGCACTCCTCGTCAACTCTGGACCTAGTGTTCTCACACGGTGAGGATGTGGATCTCATACAACATCTTCCTCCGTTAGGAAGAAGTGACCATGCTGTGCTCACTTTCAAGTTCACAGCAACGGCAGCAAGGGCCAAAACCCCAGCTCGACCAAACGTTTGGAAAGCTGACATAAATGCGATCGTCTCAGCAGCCAACTCAGTAAACTGGTACATCAATCCAGAGTCCCAAGTAGAAGCCGCATGGAACCAATTTAAGCAACTTTACGCCCAAGTAACTGTACCCTTCATCCCTTGGTCTGTTCCAAAGGGTCGGAAACATTCCCCCCTTGGATAAACCGGGAGATTCGTAAGTTACTCAGACGTAAACGCAAATGTTGGAACCTGTTTGCAACACTTGAGACTTCTGAGACCAGGGAATTATATACTACTGCTAGAAATAAAGCTATCGCAGAAATCCGCCAATCAAGGATGAAGTTCGAGACACACCTGGCCCAAAATGCAAAGGCACAACCTGATTATTGACAAAGATACAATCGAAGAAGATCAAGAAAAAGCAGAAGCAATGGCAAACTACTTCTCCCAAGTCTTCACTCAGGAGTCATCACTGCCTATAGGATCAGCTCTGGCTGCATCAGAAGAACATGGGATAGATTCCGTTGACATCGACCAAGGCATCGTGCTCAACTTCTTAATGAAACTAGATGCAGGAAAATCAATGGGTCCTGACAGTCTTCATCCAAGGCTTCTCAAGGAGCTATCAGCCCACATAGCCGGCCCCTTGACCACGATCTTCAAGCTATCTCTCCTAAATGGAGTGTTGCCACGTGATTGGAAAGACGCCATAGTAACCCCCATACACAAAGGAGGATCAAGACAAAGCCCTTCAAATTACAGGCCTATCAGTCTCACCAGCACTTTAATCAAGACACTGGAAAGAATTATCAAGAAAAGCATCATGGCTTATCTGGAAAATAGCAGCTTGTTATCTGGAGCACAGCATGGCTTCCGGAGGAACCTCTCATGCCTGTCAAATCTCCTGACTGCAAGAGAAAGCTGGGTCAAATCAAAGGACAACAGAAGACCCGTTGACGTCGTCTTCATAGACTTCAGTAAAGCCTTTGATAAAGTACCTCACAAAAGACTACTCATGAAATTGGAAAGTCTTGGTATCAAAGGCAGACTACTAGACTGGCTCAGGGAATTCCTCATAGATAGGAGGCAGAGGGTTAGGATCAACTCAAAACTCTCCTCCTGGACAGCAGTAAGTAGCGGAGTGCCACAAGGCACGGTTCTCGGTCCTCTCCTTTTTATTCTGTATATCAATGAGTTACCTCTGCTCACCGACTCCCCTATGGTCCTATACGCAGATGACTTAAAAATTTGGAGAGAGCTGAAGGGCAACAGTG